ACCCCACCACATGCTCCCCTTCCCCACTGCCCGGCTGCTCCCCAGGTACCCGTGGGGGCCCTCCAACAACTTCTGTGGGGCCCTACCAGGCCAGGGAATCTCTCTGGGCCAGCTGTGCACTTCGGCTGCATCACAGAATCACAGAATGTCGGGGTTGGAAGGGATCTCTAGAGCTCACCCAGTGCCACCCCCTGCCAGAGCAGGGTCCCCCACAGGAACGCGTCCAGGTGGGTTGGAAAGTCTCCAGAACAGGAGACTCCACACCCTCTCTGGGTGGCCTGTTCTACTGTCACCCTCACAGTGAAAACGTTTTTCCTTATGTTTACGTGAAACGGCCTTCTGAGCCAAGCTGAGGCAAAGAACATTGACCCCGAGTCCTGCAGCCCCCACAAATAGCTGTGGTGGCCACATCGGGTTCTGCTTGTGGGTAAAGCCTCATGGGCACTACGATTGGAGGGGCTGGGGAGGCAGAGCCTTCTCCTTCGATAGGATTGTCCCTACCTCTCCCCACTCGCCAGTCACCCAGCGCGGCGGTGGGCAGCGCCGCAGGTTGCACCTCATGCTGGTCGGGGGCTTGGAGCCTTCGTGGCACTGGGAGGTGGGCAGAGTCACACTGTGGTCACCGCTTTTGCAGAGGACGATGCGGTGGCGGAAACCCGGTCCGCAGCTGGGGGTGCACTGTGGTGAGGAATCGCAGAATCACAGAACAGTTTTGGTTGGCAGAGACCTTCAAGATCATTGAGTTCAACTTTTGTTCCAGCCCTATAAACACCTCTAATGCATGTCCCTATAAGGAGGATGTACAGCAAAGAGCAGCACTGGCTCTCCCCACCAGGGTTCCCACCTCGTCTGTCTTCTGAGCCACAAGACATCTCCCACATTATGCTCTCCACGGCCAGCAGCCATCACTGATGCTCTGGCCCAGTGATGGACAGTGTCCTCCTAAGAACCCGGCCATCAGGGACTCACAGAATCACACAACGTTGGGGGTTGGAAGGGACCTTGAAAGATCCTCTTGTCCAACCCTCCTGCCAGAGCAGGGTCACCCAGGGCAGCCCCACAGGAACGCGTCCAGGCAGGTTGGAAAGTCTCCAGAGCAGGAGACTCCACACCCTCTCTGGGCAGCCTGGGCCAGGGCTCCGGCACCCGCACAGCAAAAAAGTTTTTCCTAGTGTTTATGTGGAACCTCCTGTGCTCCAGCTTGTACCCATTGCCCCTTGTCCTGTCACTGGACATCCCTGAGCAGAGCCTGGCTCCGTCCTCCTGACACTCGCCCTTTCCATATCTATAAACATGAATGAGGTCCCCCCTCAGTCTGGTGGGTGTTAAGCACTTACCTCAGACCAGTCCAGGGCAACCCACTCTGGAGGGCACGATTGGTTATTGCATGGCTCAAGCATCTTTGGCCGTGGAGGGGTGCAAGAAGCATCATCCAAAGTCTTCTCCTCGGTGGCAGAGATCTTACGCTTGCAGAAGATGCTGCGCGTGCGGACGCCTTCGTTGCAACTTCGGCTGCATTCAGACCAGTTCCCAATCACCCACCTGGAGACAGGCAAAGCAGCAAAGTCGTGAGGGGTGTGGTGCTCCATGCTTGTCCCCATAGTCCTGTCCATGGCTCTATTCCTAGTCTGGCCACAGCCTCCCAGGAAGCTCTGGTTGAACCACAGAGTTCCCCCACATCTCCCTTTTCCCTTCAAGAGAAGGGCAAGGACCAGCCAGGGAGGGGCTGGGACAATCTCTGAGGGATGGTGCCGAGTCCCAAAGGACCGATGGAGAAAGGTCCTTTGTGCAAGCAG